GACTAGGATTAAGAAGGGAATGCTCCGATGGTTTGGCCATGTAGAAAGATTGAATAAGGAAATTGTGACAAAGCAAATTTATGTTGCAGAGGTGAACGGCAGAGTCGGGAAGGGCCCCCCTTAGCGAAAGTTTATCGACCAAATTGGCGATATATTGAAAATGGCCCAAATTAAGAGTACTCGTATGCGTAGGTATATGGATGTGGAGGAGGTGAGAAAGGTGTGTCAGCATCGTCGCTAAATGAATTTCCATAGTCTCTGCCTATCCCTCTGGGTGACAGGCGTGAGTGTTTATTTATTTATGTATGCATAATCCTGAAACTAAGCGACAGTCTACTCTCTGGGTGTTTCCTTCCGAGGAGTTGAAAAGTGAAGAGAGGTCGAAGCGTGGGAAAAAAGATGGCGGCCTCGCTTTTCGGAAGGACAGGTTATAACGCAACAATTGTTTTAGCGAATCGTAAAACATTTTTTTAATTTGACATTTTTATTTCTGTACCTGTTTAACTAACTAAATAACTAAATTATTATATAGAAATTGACCTTTTGACAAGGCTAACTTTAAAGGGAGGAACTGGTTCCTGAAACACCGTTACACTAGCTCAGGGGCCAGGGAATCAATGAACTTATGTAAAAAGGTTGTTATCTATACATATAATAAAACTGTAAATAGCAGATGTCTGTACATTTTATATTTTTGTAATAAAAGTGATTAAGGGGTACTAAAAATAAGTAATTAAATACATTTCTACCATTTTTAGAATTTTCTGTCTGTCTGTCTGTCTGTCTGTCTGTCTGTTTGTTTGTTAACGTATCACGTATAAAGTACTAATTTATATCATAAGAATTGTTAAGGAAATTATAAAGTGTATCTTCGGGTTACATTTAGTCTTTATTTCATTAAAATCAGTTCATTCCATCAAAAGTTATGATAAATATTCTGAAGTATGGGTAGGGAAGTATAGGTACGAATTTGCTCAACGGTGGCTTTGTTTGAGTCATCAAGTGCATTTTAAACTAATATCATATCATAAATCATAGTTAAATTATGTAAAATAATGATATAATTATGTATATCTAAAACGCAGTAAACAAAAGTAATAAAGAACGTATTAAATAAATTATACAAAAATATATTAACCTTATTAACTAAATCTGAAGCACAATAGTTAACCCATTTCTTCGATAGATGGTGGTGTTGTGAAAACTGATTTATAAGTTCTCTTACGTTTTATATAATGTATCAATCGCGTCAATTTATCTCTTTTATTTTTAGAATTGATGATGTTAGCAGCGCCATCTCTCTTTAAATATAAACATATAATAAAAATGATGATAACATGTTGTGTCTCTTTATGTACATTGTATATATATTTTGGTGGCTAAAATCATTATGGGGAACTGAAAATAATTAAATAAGAACATTTTATAATTTTTAGAATTGTCTGTCTGTCTATTTGTCGCATGAACGCATCACGTCTAAAGTAAACATCTTTTATTTTCAAACAAATCGTTAAGAATATCATAAAGCGTATCTTCGAGTTACATTTAATCTTTGTTTTATTAAAATTGGTTAATTCTATCGAAAGTAATTTTTGAAAACATTAATTTTGAAATGTAGGTTCGAATTTGTTCAATGGCGCCATAAAATCTCAGAAATAGTAATAAAAAGATTTCTGTGTAAAAAAAACGTTCCATAATAATTAATATATTTATACTTAAAACACAAAAATAGATAGGATGTTTTCTCACACAAAGGACGTAATAGATGGAGTTGTACAAATTACAAACTTTTCTGAATTGCGGTGTTGAGATTTTTCGCCGATGAATCGTATTGAGACTTACTGAAGAAATTTGCATCCATCGAAGCCATACAACGGAACCCGACGAAAAATAAAAATTTTGCAACGAAATGTCGTGATATTGTATTTAAAATATACGCAAAATCAAAACTGCCATTTTAGCGCTTTGGGAACTAGATTTAGCACTTTTTTGGAATGTATAGCGCGCATTTCGAAATTTTAGCACCTAGCGCTTAATCCAGCGCTTTTTGGTGTATTTAGCACACATTTCAATACTTTAGCGACTAGCGGGTTATTAACTCTTTTATAGCAGCACTGTTAGTCCACATTACCGATAATAATAATAATGACCTTTATTATTTTTTCCCACAAATAGTACATTGCAGTTTATCTTTTTCAAACATATTTTTTCCACAAAACAAAGAGCATGGGAGACGAGTACAAACTAGGATACCCTGTGCTATGGATCTCCTGGCTTCCCCTTTAGGATGATCAACTTGATTTTTTTACCGACGACTATAAGCGGAGAAATCCCCTTTATTAAAGTTTTCGTTCATGGTTTTGGCAACGCATTTATTTTGCTTTATTCAGTTTCAGTCAGTTGTTTAGAGCACAGCTAAGTTAAAAGTTACTTAGAAGTTATAACACAAAGAAACTGTGTAGCAACCGCAATCAGATGCTGACATCTGAAACTAAGTTGCGAAATACATTGCACTTTAAAACAATTAATGACATTTTTATTGTTCGTACAATACTAACTACTGTTGACAGCAATTGCTATAATTATAAGTCGATGTCCTGCGAAGTATTGATACATCAAAAAAATATTGCCAGAAAAAAAACGTAATGTTGTTTTCTTTATTATGATTATATAAAAAAACACAAACTTTGTTTGTAGTTAATTTAGCGCGAAAACTAGGGCTTTTTTAAAGCGCTGTTTTCATGAAATCTAGCGCTTTTTGTGTTGTCCTAGAGCTGAATGAGTTTTTTTTTATCTGGCAGCACTGCCCAAAAACCCTCTATTAAGAAGTAACTTTCCTTTCAGTTTTAAGCGCGTTCAGTTCCCAGTTACAGTGAGTGTGTGTTATGCGATGACCGTAAATAAAGCGCAAGGTCAAACTTTACGCGTTGTAGGAGTGGACCTCAGTACCACAGAACACCTAATATCTATATTAAGTGTTCTGTGCTCAGTACTGACTGTTTTGCACATGGCCAACTCTATGTTGCTTTTTCCCGCGTTAGTAGCCCCCGTAACCTTTTTGTGTATACCCCGGCTAAGCCTACTTCTAACGTCGTTTACACAGAAGCTCTATCATAAACGACTTAGAACTTTGATGATAATGATTTATTTAGTTACCACTTATTGATACAGTAATGAAATAAATCGTTTAATATTCTCTTACCTAAACGACAAATTCTTTATGTAAAACCTGTATACGCGAGCTACGCCGCGGGCACAGCTAGTTAAATAAATAAATAAATAAAAGTTACTGCAGAGTTGTACTTGAAAAATGTTCGGGAGAAACGACCTCGCAGTAGGATCCTCCTTCACCACGACAACGCCTCGTCGCACACCGCCAAGCAATCAATCGACTGCTTGACGACGTCAGACGTGGAATTACTGGATCACCCGCCCTATAGACCCAACCTTACGATTTTTATTTATTTCCGATAATAAAAGAAAAACTTCGAGGAAAACGTTGTATGGACGCCGAGGTAGCAGTAGCTGCGTTTCAAAATGCCGTCGAAGAGACCCCTAAGGACGAGTGGGCAAAGTGCTTTTCTCAGTGCTTCCATCAGATACAGCGATGTTTTGAAAAATAAAATAAAACTAATAACTTGCTAGTTTGTTAAGTTTTTGATTTTCTAATATTTTTCAGTGTCACCCTCGTACATAAACAGCGTAATGTGGGTTCCAAATTAAACTTCCGTATTCTACTATCGTACTCGTATAATGCTTCTTACACATGCAAAATATACTGCATTTAAACTTAGAGTACTCTTAATACTTAAATCTTTGCAAGTGCGTAATACAAAGCCCAGGTTACGAAAAAAATATTTACTATACTATCAATGTCATTTAATCGTACTCATCTTAGAATCTAAAGTGACACCAAGACCACGTACAAGTTGGATACTTTGAATTGAAATATCATTAAAATTATATGAATACATGATTGGATTTATTTTGCGTGAGAAACTTATGATTTAGCATTTACCAAGGCTGAGTGAGATTCTATTATTAACAGTAATAATCGTAAAGGCGATCTCAATATTTTTGTAACAATTTGCAATCCTCATACGAGTTGATTCGAATGTAATTTTTTATGTCGTCTGCATATAGTAATTGACGTGAATTATGTATAAATAAGCATATACATAACAAAAGAGAGGACCGAAATGCGAGCTTTGAGGAACTCCAGAAGGAACGCCTATAATATAAATATAAAAAAGTAACTTTACTTTTCTAGGTGTTAGGATTCCTTTTCTGCCTAGAAGTCCGTCCGTCCATTCGGTAGAAATGGTGGTACATACCAATGTACCAAAAAAACTATATTACTTTCAAGTACCGCACAGCACCTACACTACTGGAATTATCCTTCTGTGAATTAAAGGAAGCTCTGGTACTGCAACTATTCTGGTAAGTACTGCCCTGGACTGATAGCGGATAAGTATTATTGATGTTAGGTTAATGGATACTTTTCAGTGTGCCCATCAATTTTTTGCACGCTGCTCCATATTTTTAGTATATAATGTAATTGTAGAGGTACATACTGCAACACATTATAACGAGTTTTTTTTTGTATTTAATCAGCGGGCAGCTTCGAATTAAGATCAAATTTTGAGAAAAAGTTATTCTCTAATAACCACTTAAGCCTGTGTTTGTAAAGATATAAAAAGTGATAATTTCTCATAACTTTCGCAAGATATTTCCGTGTTCGAAATCAGCCAGATTGGAATTTTTTTCAGAAATTGTTCTAGGAGATGGAAAACAAATTGAATTTTCTTGCTTTCAAATTTTTTGTTATATTAATACTTTTTTGCTTTGTTTTGTTGTAGAGAGTAATAAATAATTTTCTGCGGTTTTGTGTACCAAATATTATTTTAGCAAGGCTCTGTTGATTAACATAATGCTTTCAAAAGATAGGAATACTTTCTTAATTATAGAAGATTTATAAAACTCAGAAGTGGTTTACTTACCTCTATGCCGAAAATCTGTTTTTACAGCTATAACATAAACTTTTAAATATTTTCTGATATCTAACAACTGATACAAATTCACCGGTTTTTCAATTTCATTGTAGAATCGCATTATGTTAGTGTAATTTATGTTATAAGTCAGTTTTACACGACTGAATGTACGGGAGAAGGAACCTGAAATCAGTTACTTAAATAGTAGATTCACATTTTACAATTTTTAGACCTAATTTTGAATCGTAAAATAAAACTTTTTCATGAAACTAATTATAACCTTACTCAATATAAAAGCGAAACACTTCAATTATTTTATTTAATATAATATTTTATATTAACTATTTATTTTATTCTATTACATAAATAACTTTTCTAAAATTATTCAAAAAATCGACTATACATATCTTTTTCTCTTTATAAAAAATCAATTGCTGTTTTTTATAGAAAAGGGGGCAAACGACCTTGCGGCTCACGTGATGGTACATATGGAACAACAGGGGAGTTGCAGGTGCGTTGTTGACCTTTTATAAAGGAGTAAGCACCTTTCTTGAAGGTCCCTAAGTCCTATCAGTCCGGAAAAATTGCCGGTGGTAAACAATTCCACAGAGATGTTGTACGAGGAAGAAAACTCCTAGTAAAACGCACAATGATAGACCGCCAAGCATTGAGATGATGAGGATGGTATCGTGATATTTGATGAGATGTGTGTTCGTGAAATTTTGCGGTTGGAATTAATGCGAACAATTCCTCAGAGCACTCCGGTGTTAGATGCGGTAGAAAATGCAAAGAGATGCAACTCCCTACGCAGCGCCAGTAAATCAAGTCGATCAGAAAGAACTCGGCCGTCGAAGATTCGAACCGCTCTGCGCTGGATGCGGTCAAGTGGCTTCGTGGCGCAATGGCTTAGCAATGAGTTGTTGCGCTGGGGTCCGCGGGTTTGAATCCCGCACGGAACAAGTATTTGTATGGCCTACAAGTAATTGTTCCGGGTCTGGATGTTTGTCCTCGTGCAATCTATGTTTGTAAACTGCCTCCACGATACAGGAGAAAATCCTACTGTGGGGGTAACGTTTTTGTAAGAGAATATTAAAAAAAAAGAATAAAAAAGTGGAAGCTGGCACTGGAGTGCCCTGGTCCAGAGATAAGCACAGTATTCCATGTGAGGACGAACTGGCGCTTTGTAAAGTTGCAAGGGATGTGCCGGCATTAAGTACTACTGTCTCGCTCTGCTGAGTATGCCAAGCTTTTTAGAAGCCAATTTGCTGTCCGTTTGTCTCGCTAGAACTCGAAACTGGCTCAACCAATTCTGATGATTTTTTTTGTGTTTGACCGAGTCGAGTTGAGAGAGATGTTTTACATTCAAATAATTTGATTTGGTAGGTGGAGCTGTAATCGAGATACAAAAATCACCCGTGCAAAGTCGGGGCTGATCTCTAGTATGAAATAATAATGAATTAACTTGTAAAAAATCAAGAACTGGATTTACTTTAAAACAAACGCTTAACGCGCAAGAACTCTGGCATTGCAACGCTTGGCATTTTTTTTATAGAATAAGGGTGACAAATGAGCACTCAGTCCACCTGACGGTAAGTTTAAGCACTAAACAATCTAATTTAATATAATATGTATTACTTTAAAGATTTTCGAATACATGTTAAGTTCACCAACACGCACTGGGGCAGCGCGACGAACATTTTCTTGCCCTAATACCCTCTCAGTAATGATAGGAGGCCTCTGCGCAGCAGTGGGACGTAAATAGGCTGCAACTTTACTTTACTTGAGAGATACCTCGTGTTTTCATGCGATGGCCTAATCAATCTATTTATTTAAAATATAAAAGATTTTTAGTATTGATGTATTGATGTCACCATAAGATATTGTTAGGTTAGCTAATTACGTAATAACTTAAGACAGAAGGACACTTAAGTAGGGACTGAATAAACTAACCAACTTGGTATTACATGGATCTCAAAACTTTTTACGTTAAAAGAACTGAGTTGCGAGACTTGGTTTTTTTAAGAGTTATATTTTAATGACGTTATTTATACTTAAGCAACAACAAAAACAAATTCCTCATAATTATAAACAGATATACAATACAATACAATATTTTTATTTCAGGCATCAAGGACTAAAAGAAAATTGGCCCACAGGTACATTACCCTAAATATTTAGACATATTATTACATTAATTGCATTTTATTATTTATGCCACATTTTAAAACGTCAAGCGTGACTGGGTGAGTATGGCAACATGCAGTAGATACGCCTTCGAAGGTTCATGGAGTATATATTTAAAAAATTACTTTTCTCTTGTATCCTCATAATAAGAACTCCAATTAGTTCATTCAATTCTTCATTCACAGCTGCTAAAGACATTTTATCTTTCATCCATATACGGACGTTATTAACAAACTCTTCACTTCCCTCTTTGTCACTTACAATGTTTACCGATCGATATGTTACCTACAAGTTAATTAGTATTTTAGAAACTTCTTTCATGTATTCCGATATTTTTTTGTACGTTATTTCCACTAAATATATGACTATTGTTGCTTTAATAACGCAATGAGATTTACAGACTTATTAAAGTTCGGTTTTAAAAATGTGAAGTTTTTTAAAAGAGAAAATTAATACCTATAACATTTTAATATTACATACTACTTCATTATGGCAAAACATCATTGCATTATAATATATTTAATCATCATACATCGGTGAATTTTTGAAAGTTTATTAATCTTATAAGTCTGTTAAATCTTTCTTTAAAAAAGGTAAAATTTAATGAAAGAAAGTATTTAAAACTCATTGTTTTCAAAATAAATCAAGTTATTACACACTAGCTTACCTCTTCTGTTAAATAATTGTCCTCTAGTAGCCGTATAGCCTCATCGTACCTAGTTTCTTGAAGATCTTCGAAGCGTATACCACATGGTAGCTGACCCCAAATTGATGGTGCTCTTATTCTCTCTTCTAAAATTTTTATTTTTTCTATTTCTGCTTCTGCTTCGCTTTTGGCCATTATATTTTTTTTAAATCTCTACTATTAACAATTATTTCTTCGTAATTGAAGAAACACATTACATGCCAACCAAGTATATATAAGTAAACACTGAATTCTTCAAACTAACATTATAAATAAATAATTTATTTATGTAAGAGAAATTTTCAAAGTTTTTTAATATCAACGTCTATATACAACAAGCAGTATAAAGGAAATGTAAATCAACAAAGAAACCCCCAAGTCGACCACATCGTAATAGTACGTCACAAAGGACCGAAGACGGGCTGGCACCAACAAAAAACTCGGCGAGTTTCCATGAAAAAAGCGAAAACAGAAAATCAATAGACGCCGATACGTCTTGAAAACTGTCAAGTCCGTTACGATATAAATTTATATACATTCAGTTCATACTTTTTTCATAAAACCTACGAACGCACTAGACATAATATTTTTTTTACAATCAATCATCTTTTATATCATTTTTAATTATGATGTAGTAGTGGTGTAGAAGAAACCACCGCCCCATTCCGTTCCGTGGGAAATCACATGTCCTCTATCAGAAAAGAGTATTATTATCTAGTTAAAGCAAGCTGTAAATTAACCAGACCGGTGACTTGGAGCAGCATCATAGGTGTAAGACTGTCAAACGTTTGTAATAATAATGATAATAATGTTTAATATTACAATAATAAATAATGTCACTGTGGCAGTGAAATAGAATCCATTAGCACATGTTATATTGTGGATGTCATAAAAGGCGACAGACGGAAATAAATAGGAGATCGACAGAAGTATCTATTAACAACTCAAAATAATAAAAAAATGTGACTGTCGACACGCCTTACTTACCTTTACGTGGTAAAGTCATGCTGAAACTATATTAGTAGTATATTTGTAGCACGAATGGGTCGGCTCGACCGGGGAAGGACCACGCTTTCACAGAATACTAGCGTAAAATAACAGCTTAAAACTGTTGTGTTTCGTGTGGTGAGTGTAGAGAACCGGAGACCCTTTTTACTGGAAAAGGGGCATTCCATCTTAGTTCTCACGGACAACGCATCTGCATTTTGATTCGCAAGCGAGGATAGGTGTAGATGTCTATGGGCCACAGCAACCACTTACCATCAGGTGGACTGTGTGCTCGTTTATCACCCTATCCTATAAAAAAGAACGCCTGTCATGCATAGCAACTATGGCAAGTATCCTTCATATAAGAAATTCTATGAGGGAGGCCTATGTTCTTTAGATCGGCTGTAGAATGTTAGTAAATATGTACCTTATGTAACTTTACTGTGTATTGAGCTTAAGATAATCTATCACCTCATTTTATCTCGTGTGTCTTGTAGAGGCGATTACAGAAAATGTTTGAGAGATCACATGGCATAGATGGTACAATGCGATCGTCTATCCGCCTGATTAACGCGCTTAACAGTGGATTTTTACAGGCTGCAGCTGGTGAATGGCTGGCAAAATTGGTCGGCGCGTGTGGTAGGTTCATGCTTTCACAGAATACCAGTGAAAAATATCAACATAAGGCTGTTTTATTCGTATAAAAAATGATGAATCCCGGATACCTTTTTTACTGGTAACAAGAAATTCCAATACTATTTATAGTCCTCGAAAGCATAAAGGTGGTTCTAGTTCACAGCAATTACTGACCATATGTCGGACTGTAAAAAATGTTATTAAAAATTGAAGTGCCTGTCCATAATATCGTAATAACAGTATTTTAATGAGTCATCATTCGTTTATTTTCATGCTATTAACACATGAATAACTATCTTTAAAAATTATGTCTGTCTGTGTGATTGTTCCACATGACTAATCTTCGGAATTACTGAATTGATCGTAATAAATCTTAACGAACAAATAGATAGCAATATCAGAAGTGATCTAGGCCATATTGTTATCCGAAATACTTGCAGATATTTTAAATCGAAAAATTGATAAAATTTATGATTGCTCTAAATATAATAATTTGTATGATTATCTGTATATGAAACTTTACGGCGTGTATCCATTTTATCCCTTAATTACCAAGCTAATACATTATAGGAATGGTCGGATATAATGAACTTAGCGTTAGGAGAGAACTTACTATGGTTTTATATATTTATAAGGTACTCATAGGGAAAATATTTAATTCTGATATACTAAAATAATTAAACATGTATGTACCGGAAGGATACACAGGGAGACGGCGACGACTAACTAATGTTTGCCGTACCGAACGGAAGGACAAATCTAATGCGTCAGACGCCCCTCACACTTGCTCTCTGCACGCTTAATTTGATAGCGAGAGAAATAGACTTGTTTTGCTGTCCACTGAGTGAGTTCACACAGGTAGCATTATACATAATTTGTTATATACCTAATTTAAAAAGATAATTGCATACAATAATAATAGCAAATAAAATTGTTACAATATTATATAGAATATTTATAATAATATCACATATAATAGTTACACTATCGTATTAGGATTATCTGTATAGATAGTTGTAAGTGTTAAAATAAATAAATATAAATAACACAGGCAAAGCTGTGGCGGGTTGCTTGTTAATAATATATAAAAATAGGTAACATTTATTTTATTTAAACGTAAATGGTATCGAAAAATGTCACCCTGACACTGACTGGCACGGCTTTAAGAAGTTGATAAAGATAAAAAGTAGACGTAAATCAATACTACACAATACTAAAAATTTCCTAAAGAAAATGTTTATTTAGAAAAAAAATACAAGAAAGTAAAAACTGTATTAAATATTAACCTTTTAAATGTAGTTGGCGATGCTTTCCAGATTAACGGAAACGATCTTGGAAGCTTATCCCAAATGGCAAATAACAGCATTTTCAGTTGAGACTAGGAAGGAGTAACCTCAGAGTAGGTTCATTCCTAGCCTATTTATAGATTTAGAATTTTCTCTCTTCCTTCAGTATTTATACCACTGACCCCTTTTCTTTTTCTTTTCTCTATTTATCTCACACACACCCACATTCTAATTAATATATACTACACAATAATTAATACATCATTTATAATGTGAAGAAAACAATAGAACAGTCTTAGCTTACGCGTCGTTTTACTCAATTTTTTCACTTACATTTCACTTACAATAGTATAAATATATATATGTATATATATGCATCTATATATATATATATATATATATATATATATATATATATATATATATATATATATATATATATATATATATATATATTGGTTGTTTGTAGGGTTTTTGAGAAAAATATCATCAGGAAAGCGTACCATATATTTGCGACAAATTGCCAACGATCTGCTTATATTTTCTTGTATTTCATGTTGTAACATACGCATATTTGCGCCATCTCTCATGAGTGCATATGAGGATGATCTTCTTTCGCCTACATCAATAGTGTGATCAAGTTGCTGTTATCACCCACATATAATCTTCGAATGATATGATAAAGGCGTGGCGCCGCTCGCTTTTGAAGTATGCTGTTGGCGTGGGACGTCGTGAGCGGATTATTCACCGCTGCTGTCGACTGACATTTGATGCGTGAGGGAAGTAAAATTTGTCTTATATATTGCTTTGAAAATAATATTCTATAGTAACAAGCGGTTAACTTTTTATTTGTTTGAGAGAAATGCCTGAAAGCCATGCTTATTGCAATTGACTAACCTGAGTGTATTTGGGTATTAATGACCCTGTTAAATTTTAGAATTGCTTACTTCATTTTATTTTGTGATTTGATTATGTCCGCATCCGTAGCTCAAAGAGTAGGTGCAGTACGCATGTAGTGTTGCTAGAGGTCTAGTTTAGACTTCGTTGAGATGTAACGGGGATGACAGAACAAAGAGGTGAATGCTCGAAATTAAGTGTAGTATACATTTGTTGCGTAACGAACGATTTATAAGGTTATGGCTCTTGGAAATTTTATTTTGTGATGTAAAATTTCCTAATAATTGACGTAGTTGAAGTAGAATTGAGTACTGAATAAAGTTGCCGGAGGTGTTTCCAAACGTTCGTACTCTTAGTGACTATTTGGTCGCATTGCACGAATTGGAGCGTAGTTGTAACTGCGATTTACTTGTGAGTCATTCAGGAGCGATGAATATCTAATGGTGTGGTGGAAGGCCTTTGTCTCGTAGAGACTATTGTTGGTCGACTTGGAACGACTGATAGTCGTTGTCTCTACAGTAGGTCGTATCACAAGAAGTGATGAAGATATAGTCAACAGTTTATTGCTAGCCATTGCGGCATTGTGATCACTGTGTGTAATCAAATAGATAACTAAAATGTTTTCTTCTTCTGTGTCTTGGCATACTATTCATAATGATTTTTTTTTCGGGTAAACTTGGCGAGAAGACTTAATTACGAAGTAATAACTCTTTTGAGTTATTACTTCGTAATTATACAAATTATGTTTTGTAGAGTACCCTTAACCCACGAGCATGTATGTGTAGGTACATATATGGACGTAAAGGATGCGTTTTATCACGAGTATTAGCAATACCCCAAATGTCAACCATGATTAAGAAATTAAACGCAACGTTTGCATTTTAGTCCAGACGATCCAAACTATAGGTGTGGTGTAATTTTCTGCCGACTTCCAAAAAGGAGACGGTACTCAATTCGAGTGTATGTTTTTTTTATGTGTGTTACCTTATAACTTTGTACTGGGGGAACCGATTTCGTTGATTCATTTTTTATATGAAAGCTTATAGTTCTCGTGTAGTCCCATATGAATGATCAAGGTCAGACCAATGGTTATTGAGTTATTCTTAAATAACTTATATTGAAGTCGCTTATATTGAAGTCGACAAAATTTTTAATATTAAATTATATTTTGTAAAAAAAATGCACAAAATAAATGCTTAGATTCAAAATTATTTGATTTGTTAATGGCATTAACAATCGCTTAAATTAAAATCAATCGCCAGAATAAAAGTTAGACTAAGTAGACATAGAGTTGAATCAGCACTGATTGACACGATAGTAAACATCGTCAGTTCACGAACAATGAAGATT